CGCCAATCAGAATATCGCTCTGTCTTGTTTTCTTTCTTACGTCTGCATCGGCTTTCATCATTGATTTTGAGATTTCATCATTCTGACGCAAGAGTTCATCATTCCTGGTTTGTTTCCTTGGGATGGTTGGACACTTTGCCTTTGCCTCTCTGTTAAACGGTAGTTTGAAAGGGCTTATTCCTGTAGAGCTGTGTGGAGTTGTTCTGTACTCTCTGAGGAACGGGAATATTGAATGCTTCCAGTTTCTTCTCTCTATCTCAACTGCTTTGATATTTTTCATCAGTGGTTTGTTAAATGCTTCTGCTTGCATTGTGCATTTGCTCGAGGCCAAAATATTTATGTATTTTTTTTTATCTAGATTTAATATTTGATATCCTAACTTCACCTTTAAATTTGTTCTTTCGTACCCATACGAAAAGATACTATTAGAATTCAATCTGAGTATTCAGTTGATGGTTTGTTGATGATCAATTGACCGTCAATTGACCATTAGTTGAATTTTTGACATGCAAATGAGGGAGCGTTCAACTCATTTGCATATAGATGACCACCTATATATTCTTTGCAGTTGAGCTGTTGACCATTAGTTGAATGCTCCGCTATTTTCTTTGCAGTTGGCCATTAGTTGAATACTCCTCTATTTTCTTTCAGTTGAGCATTAGTTGAAAACTCCTCTATTTTCTTTGCAGTTGACCACTGTTGAACGCTCCTCAATTTCCTTTACAGTTGACCATTAGTTGAATACTCGTTTATTCTCTTTGCAGTTGACAACTGTTGAATACTCCATTAGTCAGTGCATGTTGCATTTGAAAAAAATGGAGGGAGTTTTGAAAACCAAATTTAAGGCAAGCAGTGTGCTTTGAAAAGCTGCCATGTCTCTCAATAGGATAGGAAAAGTAAAAAAAAAATGAGGCTACCAAAATGATGTAGAAACAAAGATACATAGCGGGTTCCAGTAAATGTTCAACCAAGCCTCTTTCTTTACTTCTCACTAAGATATTAACAGTAGTGAAAGAGAAACTTCAAGAGTACTGTGCAACAATATATTCGATAAATGGTGTAAATCAGATGTGGATACTTACAAATTCCAAGGAACTTCAGAAAATTTGAAATCACAAGATTTTACCAAAATCAACAGCTTAAAAACTTACGACTTTTCAACTTTATACATAATCATTCCCCAAGATAAATTAAAGTCCAGGCTTTTTTCAATACGAATGGAACTCGTAAATTTACTTACCTTGTCATTGGTCATTTGCACAATTATTTTGTTAAAAAAACATTCTTATTGTACACACAAGTACTCTGAAGTTGACATTAAAAAGATGCTTGAGTTTCTGATTGACAATATCTATGTGGTTTTTGGAGACCAGGTCTTCCAACAATCTATTGGAATTCCCATAGGCACCAACTGCGTTATTAGCAGACCTTTTTTGTATTCATATGAAGCAAAATTTGTCCAAAATCTTATACGTGAAAAGAAAGAAACACTCGCTGTGGCCTTCAACTCGACACTTAGATATATCGACGACGTATTGTCAATAACCAATTGTTATTTCCATTCTTATGTCGATACGATATATCCTGGTGAGCTTGAGATAAAAGATACCACAGAGTCTGACACATCTGTTTCATATTTGGATATTTTACTTGAAAAAGACGTTAATGGTAATCTATCAACCAAGCTTTATGATAAACGTGATGACTTTAACTTTTCAATCGTCAACTTCCCTTACTTATGCAGCAATATACCTTCATTATCTGCATACGGAGTTTATATCTCTCAGTTGATTCGATACGCAAGAGCATGCTACGTATGTACAATGTGTCTCAAACGAGGTAAATTATTGACAAACAAGTTGATGAAACATGAATATCAGCAGTTTCGTTTAAAGTCATCATTTTGTAAGTTCTATGGTCGATACGATGATCTTGTCAGCAAATACAATTAATCATTGAGTCAAATGCTAACTGAGGTTTTTCATACTAATTGTTAGGTCATTATTTATATACTGAATTATCGACGGATTTTCCCGTTATTTCTTGATCATGACAAGGAGCACACGGCGGGTGTGACTGGTCGGCAGGGGATGCTCACTCCTCCATGGCATCTTATCCTACCTCTGATGGTTTGGAGTTCCGTGTTTGCTCTGCTCCTTTTTTGTACTGTTTAATGGACTTTTGAGCTTGAATACTGTTTGTTATCCCCATATATTTCATCTATATATATATATGTATGTAAATGCATAAAAATTGATAAAGCTGGCACACTCTCACCAGTTGCTATGCCTTCTTTTTTTTCTGTGCAGAAAAAAGTAGTTTTAGTCTAAAGCAAAGGCATATGTTTACCAACAACACAACAAGAAAAACAACAAAACACTTAATGCACAACGAGTTGTAGGAATTCTATCAATATTTTAAGAAGTACTCAATAGTAGGAACCTATACTAGCTACAGTATCATGTCTTTCTAATATCTTTTAGAAAAGATATAAAGAAAGAAAAAAATCTTTAAATTTAATACTTACATGGATTGCACAAGCTGAATCATTCATGAAAACAATTGTTTCAATTCAAAATTCTCCACTTTCTCACAAAACACACACTGACACAAGTTACTTGATTCAAATCTAAATTGTTGTAAGAATTATGGAATTGCAATCCCGATCTATAATAATGTCATTCCAAACCAAACATAAAAAGAGACAGAGGGATTTTCTAACACTGAGTGGTCAACTGTAGTCAACTCTGCAAGTTTTCACAAAGTCGGAGTATTCAACATGTTCGCATTAAATTTTCAAAGTATTAGCATTCAACTTATTGTCAACTCGGTGAAAAGCATTCAATTGACGGTCGTCTGACGGTCAACTGACCATTTTATGCAAAATAATTGGCAGCTTTTCAAAAAAAAAAAAATGTGGTCAATTGTTTTCGAGTATTCGGTTGACGGCTAGTTGACGTCAACTAGACATTTTCGTATGGGTATGTACTATTGCCTGGTCGGTGTTATGTTTGTACCTGCATGTAGGTCTTCCTTGCTTGCGGACCTGCAGGATACACGCAATTATGCATAGGCTAGAAATAAGTACACAAACAATACTGATAATTATTCTTTATAATTATAACTCGAGGTTCAAAATGCAATTATTCAAGAACATTTAAACAAGGAGAATGTTATCTGAAGAAACAGTTTTAATCCCGTTTCCTTTCAAAGAAATAATTGATAGTCGTACTTTACATATAAATTAGTCATGACATGGAGGTAGGAACGTCCAAAAATTTACAGGAAAAAACAATAATTTGACATAATCTTCATACAGAGAAACAAAGGAAAATTCTTTTCTTTTAAGAAAGGAATTTAATTTGGAAAAATATATCAATATACTTATCAAAGTAAGGGGACCCATCTTTATTGTTAAAATAACAGTCGTCATATTTCGAAATAGGAAAGGATACCCCATGTATTTATAAAAAATACTGCTCCTTCAGTTCACCACTCAAGTTAATCTACTATAATCGCGACGTAAATTAACATTACATTTAACAGATAAACAGAACACAAATGTTACATAAGCTCAGAATCAATTACACCAGTGACGAGAATTCACAAAGCACTTTACATGCATATACCTCAGACAAATGGAACCTATTTTTCTTACAGGTATCTCTTTCTCTCTCATTCTTTCTTTCTTTCTTTCGATCGTTAAAACAATTAGCTGCAAAACACTGTTGTCCTCTTGTTTGATTTTCTAGCATAAATGTTGTGCATTTTTCCCTGTGAAGTCTACAACAAATGACTTTGATATGACACCTTGATGTACAACATCAGGATCATGTCAACAAACTCACAGATACCTAAAATCTGCGCAAAGTATTTCCTATGAACAACTACACCTTAGCTGACAGAACTTGTCATGCAACAGTGAACAAAGGGACTTATCACGAAAAGGTTACGGTCTTGGCCTATAATTATAGTAGCTAATTTTAAAACCGTAGATTGCAAATTGTGTATTGTACAATTTGTACTCACATATGTATCGCAACGACTTTATCATCTACAAAGTCTACGACGTGTATTAAATGTTAATATAAGGTATAACATATTAATATTACACTTTCCAGAATATGTACAATATGCTATCACTTATATAAAAAAGAGATGCTGGAGTTCCTCACTGACAACAATCCGTACAATCCGTTATCAAAACATTCAATAAAACATACCTATTTAAAAAACTCCGCGAATATTGTTTAAGTCAACAAATATCGTAAATACAGGTAGACGTCAGAAGAATAGATCCTATCAAGGTTATTGGCCGCCATCTTCGACTGAAGGCAAGCATTGGGGGTTGACGTCACACAACCAATGACCGACGCGAGGCGAAGCGAGAACGGATCAGCAAAATAAACAGCCGCGTGTTGTTTACCTTCGGTCTTATAACTGTAAATAACTATGTCCAAAAGACTTTCAGGCAATGAAATTTATATATTTAAGCTTTAATAATACTTTTATGGATAGTTTTTTTTTTGTTTTTTTTTTTTTTTTGCATTTTTTTTTTCTTTTTATTCGAGGACGCCAAAAGCACGTGGTCGGTAAACGTTCATTGTGAACCTTGGGTATTGTTCATGTCTTGGACTGTATTTAATAAATACGGCACCTCTGAATATTGAGCTTTTTATGAGCTAGAGTTGAGTTGTTTTGAACCCGGAGAAATGTTAAATCTAGGCTTTAACTTCAAATCACTAATAAATTGAGCACTTTGAAAATGATGTAAGGAGCCAGCTAGGTGTACGTTTCTAACCTAGTACGAGATGAGCCTCATGGGAAACACATAGCGTACAAAATATTGTTATGTTTCTAATTTTTGTGATTAATGTTAATGATAACATATATATGATGATTTTTTTTTGTAAACAAGTACATTTTTAATTGTTTATTTAATGTACATTAATTCATTATGATCACATTTGATATAATTTCAGCAAGTTTTCTTGACAAAGCAAGTCATGCCAATATCAGAGAGTCGAGAGCCATATATACAAAGGCCTACACATAAAGAAAGGATGCATAACAAGGTATTATTTATACTATAAAAGCAAAAGATTAGGAAATGTTCATGATCAATATTTACACAAACATGAATAACTCTGTTGTAGGCCATTGAATGTACATACAAGATTATATACTGTACAGGGGACTTGGTATATAAGTCCCTGGTTATGCACAACATAGAATCATTCCACACTCATTCAGAAAATATTCTCAGTTAGTGCATTACACAAATAAAGACAAGTCCCAGCTACTTGGCAAACTTGTAAGTGTTGCAGAACTGACAAAATTAAATTCACAGCATTCATTATGGTCCTTTGAATGATACCATTAAAAAGTTTGTTAATATTGATTTTGTGAAATATATAAAGTGAAGGAATCCCAATGGAAGACTTTCCAAATTATATATGAGCCATGCTACTTGCAGAAATTTTACAGGTATATTAATACTATAAACAACTATTATTCGCGTCATCCTTTATTCGCGATTCGTCAGTTTGAAATCAATCCGCGACGATTAATTTTCGCGACTGAGGAATTATTCTATACAAATTCAAAACACAATAAATGGTTCGCGGCGATTAATATTTCCGAGTTAAAGAAGGTCGCGAAATTCGCAAATATTTCTCGCACGCGAATAATAGTCTGGTCCGATTTATAGAAAAAAAATACTTCTAACGGCAAATAATTATTATTTGGTCCAGCATAGTTTTTAACCTATTTCGAGTATGCTGAATCCGAAAAAATATGCTGGCCTTTATGAAAATGGCGTTAAAAAGGTCTAAATGGCGATTCAAAATGGTGGACATCCAATTTTTCTAATTTTCTCTTAATGTCGTTAAAATAGGAGAAAGAATGTGTGAATATCTCACTGAGTGTAATGCAACTTTAAAATGATAAAAGAATGCTAATATTATAACTTTAATTCAGAAAATTTAGTCCTCTCTACACTTAATTCGAATTTTGTCTGATTTATTTGTCTATTGTTTCTATATTCTGCTCTGTTCAGGATTTTACAAATGTTCCTTGTTATACTGGAAAGATGTTTCTTTTAAGTCATCATTAAAAAAAATGCTTGCCCTCTCCCAACTTAGAATTAAGAAAATGGGGTAGGTAAGTATGTAAGGGGATTTTTTTTTGTACTCAAAACACTTTCAAATGATGAAGTTTAAACAGTTGATAATGCGTTGAGAAAACTGTGGAATTAATTTAAAAAAAATAGTTGTTTCCTGGATGATTAAAAAAATCAAGGCGGGCCATTTTAAGTCGGTCGGCAGAGGGCATACATTTTTTTTAAAGATGCCCTTACCATCATGATGATACACTTAAAGTTCGTGCTCTTAATATATGACCTTGACTTCATGACCTTTTACATAGGGATAAATTTGTACAATTTATTTTTAAAGCTTACCTTGCCATACACTTAGATATGACCTTGACTGCATGACCTTGACAAAGAGACAACTTTGTTCAATTTTTTTTTAAAGATGGCCTTATCATACATTTAAACTCCATGCTTTAATGTATGACCTTGACTTCTTGACCTTGACAAAGGGACCACTTTGGGAAGTCTGAAAATTCTTTTTAAAAAGTCTGGTTGGTTGCATGTAAACACAAATAAGTATTTTATTTACTGTAGTCCACAAGACACAAAAGTATTTTAAATTGCTTATAAATGACAACCAACAAACTACAACTTTTCACTGGCCTACGGCAAAGCTGGAAAAACCCATCTACCATTGCCAATCTGCTACTGGACTGAATTCATACCAGTTACAGTTGTCAACTAGATATGTCCAAAAATTAATATCCTAAATCCTAAGTTTAAAACTTAAAATGAATATAAAAAACATAACCCTTTACCAATTTGTAATTTACATACAACCATGAAATAATGACCCAACAGATCTTCATTAAAGAATTGCAAATGGTATCTTTGAAAACTGTAAAGTATGGAAAAAGAGGAGGTTTATACACTTATGCAAGTTTGTCAGTTAGGTAGAATTTTCTATGCAAGTTGCTTGATAGTGCAAACCTTATGCAAAATGGTTGTTTATGGTAAATCCATGCAAGCTGGCTTAATGCACAAAAGGGATGCAAGTTAGTTGTATGTCCATACACAATGCTACTTATACGTATAAATATACGTAACAGGTACTGCTATATTGATATGCAAGTGGTTACAGATGTCACTGATGCTTATTCAGGGGGAGGGGTACAGTATAAGTTGATGGATAATCGTGAAAATTTATAGTGATATTTATTCAATATGAAAGTACATTCAACAGGAGTTGAAATTATGAAATGTAATGCGTTTGCTAATAAGATGGTACCAATATATTTTTGATTTTTTATTCAACGAGGGGCTCCAGAGGATTGCAAAGTGCACAGCATGAAATAACAATATCAACGACAATGGGAAAGCAAGAAACTGGAAATTCATTTTTCAAAAATCTGTATGTTTTAAGCCTGCCAATAGCTTGTTCAGCATAAATTCTGACATTTGCAATTTTTGAAGTTTCTGCTACATCTGACACTTGCATCTGTAATTTTCCAGTTGTACTGGGCGAAATAGCTCCTTGATTTTGTATCCCCTGTCAGTCATAACTTGATCATATGGTTCTAGAAGATTGTAAAAAATGACTGTCTTTTGCAATAAACTGATCACTTGCTCTCCCTCTATAAACAGAAGAGACATATGAAAACATACCATTTGGTGTAATTGCAACAAGGAATTTGACAGTACAGTGTTGCTTATAATCAGACCAGCATTTAGCTTGAATTTCCAAACTTGATGGTGTTTCTAACAAATCTTCTGTACAGTCAATTATGCAACGTACATTTGGGTAAAACCTTCTGAAGCATTCAGGTAATGCACTTTTGATTGTATGTTTGTAGGCCATATGATGAGATTTCCCAGTTCTAGACGAAGTAGGCGAGTCCAAGTAAAGAAAATGCTGCTGACAGTTGCATCAGAAATATTGAATCTAAATGCAAGGTCATGAACCAGAAGACCAAGTCTTAATCTCATCAATACCAGCAACAACTCAAGCTCTAGGGATAGTTTTCTACTTGGCCAAGGGCGTTTAAAGGTAAGACCTTGATCATATCTGGAAGGCATTTCAGAGGTAGTCTGTTCTTTGCCTCTCCAGTACTTCATGCACTTGGCTTTTGGGCTGAGCAAGTCAAATAATGTCTGAAAATCTAGTGTAGTAGACAGACCTGTAAAGAAATTGACATCAGAGTTTCTAGTAATTTGAGTAGGCTGAAAGCAAAGAATAATTTTATTCATTTGAACATTCTGCTTGATCTGCTGTGTCATTTGTTGATGTATTTTGCAGAGTGCATTTGGTTTCACAATCAACTATGACCTTTTTATTATTGTGTTTTACAATTCCTTTTCTCTTTGTAGGAGTTGTGCCACTGATAGCATCTGACAAAGTAAAAAACAAAGTTAAATATGGATTGTCAGTGGTGGGCATACCATCTGAAAAGTGGTTTGAACACACACGTATACCATTGCCTGGAATATAATCCTGACGATCTTTTAATATTTGAGAATTCCATTTATTCCTCATTATCTCATCAGATGGAAGTTTATGAAATTTAAGAGTATGAACATGTGATTTTGTATCATAATTTTGTGGACATCTTGTGTCATTGTTACAAGGACCAGCCGCACACCTATCACCTCCTCCCATTTTTTTTATTTGAATATCAATTATATCAATTATATATAAATATGAAAGTTGACCCTCGGATACTAGCAGACTAAAACATGATTTTTGATATATATATATATATATATATATATATATATATATATATATATATATATATATATATATATATATATATATATATATATATATATATATAATAAACTGGATAAAGTGGAAGAAAAGGGACAGTAATTTGCAAGGAAAAGAAATTCTGTTTTAGTGGTACAGGTAAAGGACTGAAATTGGATATCAATTATGAAATGGGTATTTAAAGAAATATCTAGACTAGGTACAGTAAAGCATGCACTCTACATGTATAGATGATATTATAAACAAAGTTTGTAAATGATGTTTTAACTTCATTTCTGTAAAGCACTCTTATGAAGCACATGCATTACAAGTCCATATTTCAGAAGTGGGTTTTGATTTCCACACATTTCCAGTGAAACCAAAGGTCACAGTTATCACAGCAAATGCTGTGATCTCCACATTCTGTGATTTCATCTCCATCTAAGCAAAGTTTGTTGCAAAGTGCACAAAATGTTAAATTTTTTGTACCCAAAAGATAAGGGGCAATGTAATTTTTGAAGAAAAGGGATGCTTTTTGTACTATTTCCATCCAAAATCTTTCTGTCTATTTTTACTTTTAGAATCAGTGTGTCTTTAGCTGACCTCACCACAAAGAAAGATTGCTGCAAACCAGTGACACCAAGTTGTGCTTGAATCTGGTAGTAATATTTGTGAGAGGATTTCAATGCCAAATTTCCTTGCTGGTATTCAAGGAAATCTGTAAAATGCAAACCCTCTTGCACAGAAACATTGTTAGTGTGAAGAACGTAGGGACGTTTGATGTCAAGGAGAGACACTCCACAAGTTACACTGAATGATGCCGTCAGGACTGACTGCCAAAAATGGCATGTCAGGTTTTATATATAAACCTGCTTTTCTGAGGGAAAAACCTGAGTGCTTTAGGGACTCGAGCTTCAAAAAATCTACTCTTGCGGTATCTTCCTTCTCTATTCCATACTTAACAGCTGGAACAAATGAGATATATTTTTCACAAGGGGGTAATTTTGATCTTGGAGCTTCGTTTGGTTGCAAGTGTAGATAGTTTTGTACACCCAGTTAGGGTCCTCTAGTGGCCTGCTCAACAAGGACAGCTTGTTCATTTGAAAGGGGTAAGCCTTCAATGAACTTTTCTGGGGAATCTGTTAAATTGGTTCCGATATTAATTAATGATTGGGGCATTACAGGCTTTCTGACCGTTTGTAGTTAAAGCTTTAAACACAACTGATCTTGGAGTTACAGTATGCAGTTTACTAAACATATTGTTTACTTCTTCTTCTGTGACCTTTCTATGATCCATCTGCCTTGGATCAAAAGTGGTTTTCATCTCGGAAATAATAGATTTCTGACCTTGATCTTCTGTAGTATTGACCCTGTGGTCTCCTAACATGCATGTCAGTGACCTTGGATGGTTGGACATTACGTTTTGTGGATGCGTTCCAGTTGCATGGTAGAGATGTGCACGATGGATTTGTAAATCCCATGGTATTGGCATATTCTACCTTATATAGTGTAGCTATTACATGATTACATGTTTTTGCCATACCTGCTATACAGCTATACCAACTTGTTAAAATTTGTTCCTCTTGAGTATCAAATGCTATCCAAACTTCTCTTGGATCATTATTTACACCTTGTGATGGAGTAACCCTTGATCGAAGAATTTTGATGTTTTGAAAGTTGTATGTAAAGATTTCATCAACAAGTCCAGACTTCCAGTAAGATAATGCTTTATGGGTTTTTATATTTACCCACAAGGTCAATGTCAAATTCTTTTTTCTCTAAAATAAAAGGAAAAAAATGACATCTAAATCAAGTTTTGGCAAAGATTTGACATCTGATTACCAATTTGAGAGTGGAATTTACCTTGGATCCTCGGGTATTTTGTATTTCTGAAGTTTTTCAATATAGTGGCATTGAAGCTTTTTTTTGTAGTTCATTTTCAGAAATTTTAGGGGACACCTTTTAGCCTCCAAGCAACAAATGTCCTTGAAACGAGTTCATTTTCAACTCCTGAAATTTTTAAACCTCTAATATTAAGATAATCTTTCAACTGACGAATTGTCATGGAGGAAAATTCCTCAAACATGCTATCCATTGACATATTGATTTTTTATAAACAATTTTTGTTGATGAAAGTGGTAAATATGCTTTTGATAAACAAAACTATGGAAAATTTTACTTGCCTACTGATACTGGTTGTAGTTAGTACAATAAAACAATAACATTGCAACAAAATTAAATAGAATTTAAATACAATTGTTTACATTGTTACGATGAACTTCATGAATTTATTTCGTACTCTAGTCTTGTCATCATTTTCTCATTGTACATGTTTGTGAATTTAATTTTTTTTAAAAAATGTCATTAAATTACAAAACTTGAATATTTCTGTGTTTTTTAATTTTCAATTTAATTAGAGGCATGTTGAGTACCCTTACATTAAGTAAATCGAATCAACTGGGATACATTAAGTAAAGTAATGCTGTCCACTGGAAATTGGCATGGCGCAGCTCCTATAGAATGTAGAAAGCTGTACAAAAACAGCATGATTGTATTGCAACAGTTGTGCAGATGTAATAATGTTAGTACAGATGTTCTGCTAATAGGAATTTCTGTATAGTCAAATAATAAATTACAGATATACTTCTCATAGAAATTTCTGTTCAAGTGTTAAATTACACCTTGGTATGGTTATTATCATTTACAGAGTGTATATTTCACTATCGCTAAAAGGCTCCGCCCCCTTGGCAATGCTGATTTGACACACGTAGAAATACTGTACTTCGTAAGTAAGGAAATTATATCTGTATTGATATTATACTCGTGATAAATCACTTCATTAACATTTCCTAATGGGTTTTTTTTTTCATTGAACAATAGTTATAATTACCCAACACGAGAAACTCTACTTGATATACATCTACGACATCTATGACAGCCAAATATTCCCGCCTTTCGCAATGCGTAACTTGTGTACACTAACAACAACATGTAACTTCTTACATATCATATGACATTTTTAAATATATTATTAATTATTTAAATATTTTTTCCAAGCAACATTTTTTAAGTATTATTTTATTATTTAAAAAGATAAACACTTTTTGAAAAACCTTCACATTATTGATGACGTTACAACATTCTTCATGGCACGCTTGAACCGCCTAAGTACACTCATGCGGAGTTGTGGTAGAGAAACTTAAGGAAATTTCTACAAGTAAGTATATTTAGAATTGAAATGTACTTTTTCGACCCACTTCTTCTATAATAGCTGAAATGCAAAAATTGAGTGCAAAAATCGGATATAAAATGACGAGATGCACCGCATACCGCTTATATGCTGATATACATTGTGTAACAAGCATGCTGAAAAACATCGTTTTTCGAAAAGTTACTTTATTGATAAAACACATATGTTTGTAATTAAAAAAAGTTTTTGCACTAATCCCCAAAGTAGATTCTTATGACATCGAACAGAAAGCCATCAGTAGATGGAAACATTTCAACATCTCTTTTCATCAACCGGCTTTGTTTACAATGACGACAGTGCGTGATACCCCCAATCCAAGATGACGTCCAATAACCTTGAAAGGGTCTATTCGTCATTGACCATGTTAACATTAATGACACACGCTCTAAAATGAAAGTAGCATACCGACGACACCCTTGATTTGCTCTGGTTTGTTTAAAGATGGGACAGAATATAGGATGTAGAAATATGAATTAGATGCTAATAAGGAAAGAGCCTGAGGTACGTTTCTCTTTCCTATCAGCTACCGAGAACTGAAATGATTTGCTTAGCATTAGGAACGGCGATAATATCCCATGAGAGATTTAACTCGTGATCTGACAGTAACATAAAAATAACATTCCCGACTGTCAGGCCTGTATGTCGTCAGTATTGTTTTAATAAAATTTGAAGTAACTATTTGTTTCTTTTTTTTTTACAACAAATGCTACATGTAGGCCAAGAAAGTAATTCTGGTTGAGGGATTTATCGATGTGTAAACTTTTTCTTGAATTTGCTCTCGTCCAATCAAACCACAGGAAATCAATAAATAAAATTAAGGTTGGAATTATTGTCCAACAATAATTGCAGTTATGTAAAGTCATATTAGAATTTTAAAGTCAGTGAAATTTAAAGTCACACAACTTTATAATAGATCACAAAGGGAACACAGAAGAGAAAATTATGAGTTATCTTTTCAGTTCAAAATCTATACTTTTTCTACGTTCTAGTGTTATTTTCTGAAGAAAACTATTTTATAGAGATTTTTGGGGTTCTAAATGGTTTGAGATAATTACAAAATTCAAATGAATTAGAAAGGAACCACCTTAGACATGTTAAAAAAATCATCATACAGTGTATTTGGAGACAGGACCGATTTTTTGTGCTTAAGGTTCTTGCTTCTTTATTCAGAAACCATCTACAAAAATTGAAATAGGTGACGGTAACGAACATTGATTGATCTTAAAATACATAAAAAACAATACAAAAGAAGTATTCTTTTGCTGTGACCATATATCAACGACGCTTTATCAAATAACAACAATTATTTTCAGTCTTGCGTTGATTCGATATATCCCAATTAACTCAAAGTAAGACGGTAAAAAGGCTGATACATCTGTTTCACATTTTAAATTTTACTAGAGAAAGTAATTAATGACAAATTAACAACTAAACTTATAATAGACGTGACGACTTCAACTTTTCTATCGCTTATTTATGTAACAATATAACATAATCATCTGCATATGGGGTTTATAACCCACAGGTGATTCGATACACAAGAGAATGTTGCACGCAGGAACATTTCCTCAAAGGAAGCAGGCTACTGACAAATACCTTTAATGACACAAGGATATCAAAAATCTCATTTAAAGTCAAAATTTTGCAAATTCTACGGTGGATACAATGAACTTGAAACTTGAATTGAAAACATATAGTAGAATAATCTTTTGGCCGATAAAAATTTGAAAC